CAGCCTCCTGCAGCCCTCTCTCCTCAGGGAGCCGGCCATGCCCTCCAGAAACAGTCTCTTTCAAAGGAAGGCCCTCAGCAGACTCAGCAGGGACAGAAAGGAGCTCCAAGCTGCTTAGCTGGGTCACGAGGTGGCCCTGTGAGGGTGGCACGGGAGAGACAAATCAGAAATCAGGTATCACTAGGCTGCACCATTAGCAACCGAAGTGCTTTCTAGGCTCCAGCAAACCTGGTCGGATGGCTCAGTGGCTGCTCCCAACAGGGCCTCTAGAATTCTGCAAGCATCCCAGAGATTGCGAGACCATGTCCCCCAAAACACTGAGCATCCTGGGAAGTGGTTTGTCACAGGCTGAGGAGGCCCCATTTGAGGCCACTCAGTGTCCTGCCACCACCGCTTGATAGATGTGTTAAGGAGGCACGTGCCTGGTCCAGCAGCCAGGAATGGTCAGGGCTCCCAAGACAGCAGGGTCCCAGGGGACAGACCAGGCCACTCTGGAATGACCAGCCACAGAAACAGCTGTGTGGATGCAGAAAGACTCCCAAGGAGTAGGCCAGCAGTGAGGCAGAGAAGGACGGGGACACCTCAGGTGAGGGGCCAGGCTGAGGTGTGCAGTGGTGCAGGAAGGACCAACAGAAGCAAGGAACGAGCTGGCCTTAATCACTTCTGCCTAGCAGGGACCCCAGCCCCAACACCAGGGGACATCCTAAAACCAGCCAAATTAGGAGCAAACATTTGAAACTGAAAGGTCAAATGTCCCAGACCAAGGTGTCCCAGTACCTCAAACACGGGGCTTTTCCAAATTCCATCCCTGAGGGAAAACAACTGAGGAGATCAAGAGAAAGGAGTGGAGCAGAAACAAGGGAGAAGTGCCCAATGCCACTGTCAACTCACAGATGCCAGGACAGAGAAGCAGAACATGGTGTTAGCATGGGTTAGTGCTCTGTGGAGAAGGTTGAGGACCTTCCTCCTCCTGCCACTGAGCCAACTTCAGGAAAAGTGTTGGGCCATCCACGCAGAATCCCAGAAGCCCTTCCCGGAGCAGCCCTGAGCCACCTGGCCAGGTTTGCTGAGCCCAGAAAGAGCTTCATTGCTAAGGGTGCAGGCCAGTGATCCAGCAGACGGCCCGAAGCTGCCACCTGCAGCACACCCTCCAGGGCGGGCACAGGGGGCCAGGTGCATCCCAGAACCCCACAATGCCAGGGACCTATGGAGGGGGATCCCTGAGGACCACCCAGCTCTAAGGCAGAGTCACACTATAAGGTTCCCTGGCCCTGCCGAGCAGCCCACCATCACCTGCTTTATAAGGTGGCACTTTTTTATGGTTTTATTTGATTAAAAAAAAAAGGGGGGGGGCTGGGGATGTGGCTCAAGCGGTAGCCGCTTGCCTGGCATGTGTGTGTCCCGGGTTCGATCCTCAGCACCACATACAAACAAAGATGTTGTGTTCGCGGAAAACTAAAAAATAAATATTAAAAAAAAGGAACCTAGTTGAAAAAGAAAAGTGTTCTGGGCTAGGGACACACTCAGTGGCAGAGTGCTTGCCTAGCATGTGTGGGGCCATGATTCATCCCCAACAGAGGGAAAGGAGAAAGCAGAGCAGAGCAGAGAAGAAGCTACAAGGCTGCAGAGGGCCACGCTGGCACCCAGTTCAGGAAAGCCACCATGAACACTCAGGGTCTGGAGAGGGCATGGCCACCTCAGGCCCTGAGCAGCTGCTGCGCAAGGCAGCGCCGGAGGTGCCTCTGTGGGGCTCTGTGAGGGAGTGCCACCACCGTGGGGTGAAGCCACTTAACCCACATGAGAAGAGGTAGCGGAGTTCTGCCAGCTTTATTTTTGGAAAAGGCATCTGGCAGAGCAGGAGAACCGCGGAGGGAGCGACCCCGACACGTGCGAGTGCGAAGAGCCTGGGGGAGGCGGCGCGGCCAGGGCTCCAGGCAGGAGCTGGCAGCTACTGGGAATCTCAGGCAGGACGCAGCCCCGGAGGCAACGGGAGGACAGGGAACCACACAGGACCCTCCCCCTCCACACAGCCCACCGCAGGATTAGACAAATGTCTAACAGCCTTCACTGAGCAGGCAGGTGCGCAGAGCCAAGGCCACTGATCCCGAGTGACCCAATCCCAGGTGACCCAAGTGACAAGGAGACATCTGAACCAGGATGGGAAGGGACTGGAGAGGGAGGCCTAAGAAAGGGAGGAGGTGCCCTCTGGCCGGCTTCCCCACTCACTCTGAACTGTTGCTGTGGCGTGTCTCTGGCCACTGGCACCCGTGGGCAGGGACAGGCCTCCTGGGCACTGGCTTTCCCCAACAACCGCCAGGGCCAGGAACTCCAATCTTTCTTCAGACCCTGGCAAATGTCCCTTCTACCAGGGAGTCTTCCTGTCATGCAGGCTGCTCTAGAGCCTGTGGGACTGTCACTCTCCACCTAGGACCCCCACTGCCCAGCAAGGCACCAGGACCAGGTTAGCAGGTGTCCTACGTGGGGGCTGGGCCAGCATTCTGGCCAAAATGGAGAGCATGTGCTCTGGCCAGATGCCAGGTCTGACCTGACCCTGCAAGTCACCATCCTGCAGACTCACTTCCCTCCCACCCACTGCTCCGATCCCAAGTTTAGAGAGGCCTCGTCTCTCGTGGACAGTCTGGGCAGGCTCTGGGCAGTCACAGTGGCAACGGTTGACCCAGTGATCACACCCTCACAGACACACTTCACTCAACCTCGATGGCCTGCTTGGCTACTTGTGCCCAAGGGACAACCGAAGAGACAGGGCAGGCGCCAGGAGGGGTGAGGCTGAGGAGGAGGAGAGGAGCCTTCCAGGTGGCGCAGGGGAGCTGCAGAGCCACCCACCCAGGAATGACTTGGCTGATGTGCTGCAGCCACTCCTATTCTGGTTTTTGCCACGCAATTTTGTAACTCAAGTTCACCAAAATCTGAACGCACATCCTGAGCGAAACAGTCCCCTGGCTGCGTTTCCCCCAAGCCGTCTGCCAACTTGGCCTTCCTCCTGGGCTCTGAGCTCACACTGCGCTGCCCATCTGATCTCTGTCACGTTCGCCTCTGCCTGGAGAGGGTGGGGAGGGAGCCAGAGTCTGGTCTTTAAAGTGGTAACACCTGTCTGTCATTGGTCATCTTTCAGGCCTGAGGAGAGGCTGACACTGCCCACAGGACAAATCATGGGGTCAACAAGTCACCACAAAACACAGCCTGTGAAGCCTCCAGGCTGCAGCCTCGCTACAGCCCCGTGGAGACCACCCCCTTAGGCTGTTGTGAGGAATGCCTGCTCTGTGTCACCCTCCATAGGGACCTGTCTCAGACAAGTCCAGGTGACAGGCCCGGAGGTCCACATAAGTCCTGCAGCTCTGAGTATCCAGCAGTTGGCTAGCCTGGGGTCTGTGACTCCCACCTGCAAGAGACCCCTCGGTGCCCAGTTCCAACAGTGGAGCTCCTTTGGAGCAACTTGTGCCTCAACTCTTCCGGGACACCAGAGCTGTGAAGGGACAGGTCAAGCAACTGGACGTCTGCACCCCCAGGCTCACAGCTGAACCCCAGTGGGCAACCTCTTGATGCTCAGGGGCCAGAGGGCAGAAAATGTTGGGACATCTGGGAACTGAAGCCACCACCAGCCCTTCCTGCCACTCCACCGTGTGCCTTCCTCTCCACCTGCCTTCACTGACCCGGCAGCACCTGTGACCCTACCAGCAAGGCTGTGTCAGAGGAGTGAGGAAGTTTCTGCTAGGCCTTCCTAACCAAAGCCATTTTAAAGATGCAGGGGCCAGTCCCACCCTTCCTGGGCCAGGCTGTGCCTGTGGCTTCATGGGCAGCAGAAAGGCAGGTGTGCCCGGAGGAGCCAGGAACACAGGAGCACGTGGGGCCACACCCCCACCTGCCTGCCATTCTAGGCCGAGCTTTTATTTCTCACTGTTCAACTGTCCTCAATAAAGCAGGCTCCTCGCCACTAACAGGTACAAGAAAGCAGGGATGTGGGCAGAAGCAGCCCAGCCGAGCTGTCTGTGCCCGGACACGGTGGAGCAGGAAAGGGGAGCCTCATGTGCCAGATGCCCTGTAAGCCACTTTGGAGTGCAGCTCCCTAAACCCACAAACATGCCACGGAGGAGGAGAAAGGAGGCCTTGCAGCCAAAGGGGTAGGACTCAAGACCTGACCACACCACCAGGCCACAGGCACTGGCCCACAATGACTCCACACTGCAGGAGGGGGAACTGAGGACCAGAGGGTGGCACCACTACACAGGTGGTCACTGCCACCCTGTGCCCAGCCTCCATGTGTTTTAACATCAGCAAGGAGAATGAGGCAGCCTGTCCCTTTTCCCAGCCCTTAGCTGTCATCAGGACACCAGCTCTACCACTTGGAAGCTTTCTGCCTGGCCTCCCTCTGAGCCCTGGGTGCCCATGTGGCCACAGGATGATGGGCAGCCTCTGCCAGCATGTGCCCAGGCTGCTGCCCCCAATTCCCAGACCGTCTGCAGTAAATCCGCCTGGTCTGCAGACTGGCTCAGGACCAGTCCCGGTGTGGTCAACGTGGTACTGGCACTGCTGGCACTGCCCTAGGCCTGAGCCCTGTTTTCCACATCCTCTGGTGACCTGCCTGTGACACCCTCAGGTTCTCCCACTCACTGGATCCCTCCACCCCAATGCAAACACCTGGGCATGAGGCCCTGCTGAGGAACAGCTGTGCCCACAGCGCATGGTTACCTGCTCCTGAACACCTCAACCCAGAACTGCACCAACAGTCTGCGGCCAGCTCTCAGGCCACTCCTGTCACTCCAAAGTGGCCAGACTTCAATTAACCCACATGTGAGAGAGCAGGAAGAGGAAAGGCAAAAGGCAGGGGCACTCTGAGGCTCCCAGGACAAGCTGCCATCAGTGGTGGGACTCTGGGCCTAGACCCTGCCGGTCACCCCACCCAGGGGAAGGAAGACACTCCACGCTTTTGCCTTTGTGGGGCTGCATGGACCCACTTCTGCTCCAGGGCTGGTGAACTTTACCTTGCACATGTGAGCTCTGGCAGGCGCTGCTCAGCGGGGAATCCGCGGCCTCCTAAGCTCAGAGATGCTATGACAGGAGGGTAGCGCAGAGAGAGCCGGGGCCACACCTCATCAATCCTCTCAGGACAGACACCTCAGCAGAATCCTCCTTGACACAGCTTACTTCCGGTTTATGAAAAGCTGACCCCAGGATGGAGCCATTCATAGATCACAGGGTGGGCTGTGTGGCCCTACATGAAGGACCTCACCAGTGAGACCCCGTGCACAGGAAAGGGATCCAACATGCCTCATTCTGGCCCCAGAGAAGACTAGGGATGAGCTGGACACAGGCCGCCAGCACTGGTTGTCCCCTCCCACTCGCCAGATGCACTGCGAGCTGAGCACATTTCCCTGGAACAAGCAGACATCGGTGAGCGTCCAACTCCAAAAATAGTGCCACCAGGAAAGGAAGGAACACACTCTTCTAGCTGAGACCTGCCCCTGCCCTCAGACATCTCCCTGCAAGGCCCCTGCCTGGCCTGTGCAGCTCAGCTGCCACACCCTTTCTGAAAGGAGAGACGACATCAGAAGAGAAGAGCAAAACCAGGCCGCTCCTGCTGACAGAACGCAGAAACCACACGCTGCCCCTCGCCAGGGTGACCAACCCAGGAAGCCCTTCTCAGGGACTTTCAGGCCTCTGGTATCTTACATGGAATCTGATCTACAGAGAGCACTTGCCCCAAGCTGAGAAAGCTCTGGAAGGCTCCCCAAGACCACCCTAAGTCCAGGGTGAGGTATCCATGGCGGACGGACACCAGCCCCACAGAGACACCGCCCCCCCTGTTCTGACCACAGAGCAGAGGCCGAAGGAACAAGAGACTGTGGTCAGGGCCCAAAAAGAAGCAGTTACGGGCCCCACGACCCACTCCAAGGCAAAGACGTGGAACCTACATCCCCAGGAGTGGAGGGGACCAGGACGCCAAGGCTTCCTCTAAGCTGCAGCTGATCCCAACTCCACAAGGGTCATGCACATTGGCCCTTCCCATCCAGGCTGTGCATGACTGGGCTTTGTTTTCAGTTCCAAAGGTCACAAACAAAAAAGGCCAGTCCCGCTGGAAGCTATGCCAGGCTCTTTGCTGAAGCTGAGAAAAGCTCCTGGAAAGCCATGGGAGTGGCACTCAGGGTGGGAAGCATTTTGAGTCTTCAGGAGATCTAGGTGGGGGTTGGCAGCCAGGAGGGTTGTGGGTCCCAGAGCAGACACCCTTGGACTCCAGGACTAACCTCATCTTTTATTTTGTTTTTTGCAGGATACAGACTGAAACAGTGGTACTCTACCACTGAGCTACATTGCTAGCCTTTTTTCTTTTGAGAAGGGTCTCGCTAAATTGCTGAGGTGGGCCTTGAACTTGTATTTCTCCTCTCAGCCTTCAAAGTAGCTGGGATTACAGGAGTGCGCCACCACACCTAGCCTTTCTTCATCTTTGCCAACCACAGGACCATGGCTAGTCATTACCTAGACTTCCTGCTGATAAAATGAAGGGGCCAGAACAAAGGGACCCAAAGTTTCAGTTTCCCAGGGGTGTGGTCTCAGCACAGGGGCTAACACTCCAGACCAACAGCCAATTGTCTGAGCAAGTTCTGCTTCGGGCTTTATGGGGCTGTTCCAACTGAGCAGCTGTGTCCCAATAAAACTTTATTTACAAAGACAGATGGTGGGCTTGACTGGGCCCTTGCCCTAGGCACTACAGCTGACACTGGAAAAGCTGAAGTAACAGTCCGCATTGTCAGTGCCTGAAGCCAGCCCTGCTCGGCCTGCTGGGCAAGCTATGTCTGAACTCCTTCCTCAGAAATGACAGAAGCCCCTTCAACTCTACCACTAAGCCACGGGAATATGCAAGTGGGAGACGCAGTCCTGGTCCTGGGAACGAAATTTTGGAGAGGACAAGAGCAGGAGGCACCTCTTGGGCTCCTTACCCTCAGTGGCTCTGTCTGGAGACACACCTGCCACTCAGGCTGCCCTGATGCTACAGTTATCATCGTCTCACTCTGGGACCCTGAAATCACTCCCTCTGGATGAGGGGAGGGGAGCCCCCACAACAGGTCCACAGCAGAAAGCTGGATCTCTCCTAAAGGTTTAAAAAAAAAAAAGCGGGGGAACCTCCCCATCCACACTGGCCAGTAAAGGAGACCATCCTGAGCCCTCTGGGTCCCAGAAGACAACACCCCCACCAGGAAGGGCAGTGTGAATGGGTGGCTGCCCCCACCTGTCAGCCAAGAGGCCCCCCTCAGATCTGCCTAGCCTGGACTGAGGCGCTGACCCCATGTTTCCAAGGGGAGTGCAGGTCACATGGTGGCTGACATATACACACACGTGTGCACAAGCACTCACCTCCTCTGATTAGAGGCCCCGCTCCTCCCAGCAGTCAGTAGGTGGCTTCTGCCCACAGGATCCCAGGAAACCTCACTGCTTCTGCTCTCTCCCACCCACCTTCACCACCACAGGGTCAGGCCAAGGGCAGGAGCAGGGGCAAAGGCCAGCCTGCCCAGTACCCCCCAGTGGGCAGCACCTGACCTTTGAGGTGTCCAGATTGCTTCCTGCCAGGAAGAAAGCCCATCTTCCACAAGTGTTATCCTTTTTTTCTTTTTAAATATACTTTTTAGTTGTAGGTGGACACAATATCTTTATTTTATTTTTTATGTGGTGCAGAGGATCAAACCCAGTGCCTCACACGTGCTAGGCAAGTGCTCTACCACTCAGCCACAAGCCCAGCCCCGACAAGTGTTCTCTTTTTCCCCTACAGTGCTGGGATGGAACCCAGGACCTGTACACGCCAGGCAAGTGCTCCACCACTGAGCCACACCCTGGTCATCTTAACAGTTATCTTTTTCCATCTTTTTTTCAGAGGTGGGGAGCAGTTACTGGGGATTGAGCCCAGGGGCATTTTATCACTGGGCTACATTCTAGCTCTTATTTATTTATTCATTTATTTTGAGACAGGGTCTCACCAAGTTTCTCAGAACCTCACTAGGTTACTGAGACTGGTCTCAAACTTTGATCCTTCTGCCTCAGACTCCCAAATTGCTAGGATTCCAGGCGTGGGCTACCATGCCCAGCACAACAGTTATCTTTGTGTGAGTGTGGTACTGGGGATGTAATACTGGGGACTGACCTTGACCACTGAGCTACATCACCAACCCTTTCCATTTTTTATTTTGAGATAGGGTCTCACTAAGTTGGTGAGGCTGACCTCAAACTTGAAATCCTTCTGCCTCAGCCTCCTAAGTAGCTGGGATTTATAGGCATGTGCCACTGTGCCCAGCACAAGAGTTATCTTTCAATTTCACTTGGGACACAAAGAACTAAACTCATAAAAGCAGATTTTGCTCCCAAAAGAGCTGTGGCCTTAGGACCTGCAAGGTGGGCCCTGCCCCTTCCTGAAATCTTTAGGACCTTTGGCTGGTTGGGTGTCCCACCCTGCCAGACTCAAGAGATAGCAGGGGGCTGTGAATAACTGGGGTGCCCAACCAAGGGCCAAGGCTAAGTTACCCTTCTCCCCTCCCCACAGGTTCTCCAGGACACCCAAGGTACATCTTAACCTTCTCTATTCAAACACACTTGCATCCTGGTACTGGGCTCCACATGCTGTCCTTACAGAAGTAGGACACTGTCACTGTCTTCTCCACTTCTCTTCGCATCCACTCCAGAGTCAATAAAGGGCCCTCCATGCCCCTGCTTCTCAGTTGGTTCCAGGTGACTTTCCTTAACACTCTCCTTCAGACGTGACCTGAAGTCAGCCAAGCTCACCTCCAGCATGGACACCAACATCCCATCCGATGGTAGCTGTGGTCAGGGTCTTTGTCACCTGCAACCAGACTGTCAGTAGGAGTTGAAGCCAGTCTCACTCACCCCAGCATGTGACTCCCAGCATCCTTCAAGGGAAATGCCTCCTTATGATGACTCTTTTCGTAAGTATTTAGAAGAGTCACAGGGCCAGCAAGAGCAGTGACTTGGGGAAGAACACACTCAAGGAAGGGACCACCCAGCTGAGCCCTGATCACTCCATGTGAAGAGAGCAGGATTAACCCAGGGCTTTCATCACCAGCAGCACCTTAGTTTCTCAAAAGCTCCAAGGCAGGCTAAGCTGCTCCAGGCAGCCTGCGACAGAAATGCCTAAAGCCCACTGGGAAGCAGTGACAAGAGAGCTGTCACTAAGGCCCTCCCCTGGTCTTCCCTGAACCTGATGAGTACATTACTCACCCACCTGCAAGGCTGACTCAGGGTGACCTAGGCAAACCCTCCATCCAGCCGAAGACCTTGGTGACGCTGTCCAGTGCACCCACAGTCCAGTAACTGCCTCTGGGCTAGTCAACACCAGTGCAATCGGGAAACGTGGTGTCCAACTGCTCCTCAGCAAAAGATGCAATCCAAGACCCAGACTGGCCACATCTGTTCAAACCCACCTTCAAACTGCACATATGAGGACACCTGGAGGAACTCAGGACGTCCACACTCTGGAACAAAGGCAGCAGCTCAGAAAGACCGGCTCACCACAACCTCACTACACACAGCTTCCACCTCAACAGCAACGACACATCCGTCACGGACACATTAGGGCTCTCTGATCCTCGGCAACCACTCCAGAGCTGCCATCGGCACGTCTTTCAGCCCTGCAGGAACCCTGCATCTCTCACTGAAAACCCCAGATCAAACATCCCAACAAAGCCGACTAGGTCAAGACCTTCTACCACATAGCCAGCATAAGCCAACATCAGAAATGTCCACCTCCTCCAACCAGACACAGGCGACTTCCCAATTGTTTCCCACATTTGAACCCTTACCCAGTCCCCAGGTACCATCCCAGCTAAGGCCCTCAGAGCCTCTATCCACAGCCTCCTCCAGCCTCCCTGCCTCCCACCTGGCCCTTCCTGACCACACAGCCATCCCCACCAGAGCCAGAACACATCCTGGAAGCAAATGCACAGCAATCACAGCCTCCCAACTCCACCCAGCGATGAGCGGTCATGCCAGGCCTCTGCCTGCGCCAGCCTCCCCAGGGGAGCCCCGGCCACAATTCAGTGCGTCTGTGCACCTCCACCTCAGGAAATAGAGCAGCCTGTCCCAGCATCCAGAATGACCAGGACATAAAAATGATCTACGAATAGTGACCTCTTAGGATCCAAACCGTGTGGAAGACATAGCCATTGAAAAGTAAAATTTAGGGAGCTGGGGCTATAGCTCAGTGTAGAGTGCCTGCCTTGCATGTGTGAGGCCCTGGGTTCGATTCTCAGCACCACATAAAAATAAATAAATAAATATAAAGATATTGTGTCCATCTACAACTTAAAAATATATTTAAAAAAAAAGTAAAATTGGACCCAGGTGCAGTGGTGCATGCTTATAAATCCAGCAACTCAGGAAGCTGAGGCAGGAGGATCACAAGTTTGAGCCAGTCTTAGAAACTTAGTGAGGCCCTAACCAACTTAGCGAGACCCTGTATTAAAATAAAAAATAAAAAGGGCTGCAGATGTAGCTCCGTGGTAGAGTGCCCCTGGGTTCAATCTCCAGTATCAAAAATAAATAAAAAATAAAGTTTAGGGTGCTGGGGCTATAGCTCAATGGTAGAGCACTTGCCAAACGCATGAAGCCCTGGATTCAGTTTCCAGCACCATAAAAGACAAAAAACAAAGTTTGAGCAGGGCACAGTAGCACACACCTGTGGTCCCAGATACTTGGGAAGCTGAGGTAGAAAGATCGTCTGAGCCCAGGAGGTACAGCCAGCCTGGGAGACGGACCCCGTCTCGAAACAGGAAAAAAAAAAAAAAAAAGCGGAGCAGGAGGAAGAACCTAGCGGTAGAGAACTTGTCTGGCATTTGTGACCCTGGATTCCATATCCAGCACCCCACACACACGCACATGCAAAGTTTATAAGGACAAAAAATAGTTCTCTAGTTGGGGAAGAGACAAAAAGAGACAAAATCACATGAGCGTATCATGATGACAACTCAGTACAAGACAGAAGAGAAAGGAAATGAGATGCCATCGCACTTGCCTGGGGCAACAGGACTAGTACTTTAGGTTTGCTGCAAGCCTCTAGGCTGAGCTACACTACTCATCCAGCTTAAAAAAAAAAAAAGCTTTCACACACGTGGCTTTTATATTTTTTGTGGTTGTTGTTGGACACAGGGTCTCACTAAGTTGCCAAGGCTGCCCTTAAATTTGTGATCCTCCTGCCTCAGCCTCCAGGGTCGCTGAGATTACAGGTGTGCGCCATCCCACCCAGCATGTGTGGCTTTTAAACAGCAGTTCAGTGATTCCACAAACTTCACCTGGACTTGAGAACCTGTCCCTCCCTAGGGACTGGGAGTCATAGTCCCTCAAACCTGCGTGACTCAGCCAGGAGCTGCGTCTCCACTTGGCCAGGGAGGTATCCAGCCCTGGAGGATATAATTAGCATTGGGTCCTGGTGTGCATGGCCACTTCATGTGGAGACAAGTCTCTCTATGACACTTTCATGCAGTGGAACAGTCTCCCTTGGGATGGCTTACTTGGACACCAGTTTTCTTTTTTCTCTTTTGTTTCTCTTAATTAAAAAGTGACAACATATCTGCCTGTCATCACTGTCTGTCATTCAAGCACCTACAGATCAGAGGTCATTTGGGGTCACTGTTCTAAGTGTCCCTTCAGGCTATGTGGCTGACTGCAGAGATGAGATCACACAAAGCCCAGCTGCACAATTCACAGA